TAAAAAAAAAAAAAAATCTAGGAAAAAGAAAGTATTGATTTTGCTATTTTCCCACCTGCTGCCTCTTTTACGTTCTATAAAATTCAGAATTCCAACTGTTGCAAGCACCACGGTAGTTCATTGATTTCTTCAACAGGTGAGAACACAGATGGTACGGTGGGAGAGCAGCAGCCAGCAGACCAAAAACAATCCGGAGGCTCCAGTTCAGCAGAAGCTCAACCACCTATCCTCGTCACTGCACATGAGGACGGGCACCTTCGGTTGTGGACTCTGGAGGTAACAGACCCACTATGTGCTTAGAAGAGGAAAAAATGGAGAAGATAAAACAGACTGTTAAATGAACCTTAGCATTCTTCCATGTGGCTTCCAATTTTAGTATTTTTCAACCTTCTATCCAAATTGCTGGATTTGTAACCTGCTCACTGATAATGCTATTCAAACCCTACATGGCAGTTTTGTAACTCTAGGGATCAAATCAACAAAACTGCTAACTTATCCCGTAAAACAAAATGAGATTAAATGGGCACGCCAGCCCAGGGGCAAAGATGAGAAGGCAGGAGGGGACAGGAAAGCTGGTCATGGGGAACCTAAGGTCGAGAAGGGGAGAGTGTTGACATGTCATGGGGTTGGCAATCAATGTCACAAAGTTAATATATGTATTAATTGTTTAATGAGAAGCTAGTTTGCTCTGTAAACTTTCATCTAAAGTACATTAAAAAAATCAAAAAACTAAAGTTTAAAAAAAAACTGCTAACTTACCTATTTCAAATCTAGTCTATTAGAAATATAATCATGTAAATACTTTACTCCATAAACATTTACTGAATGTTTATATTTTCCATGCACTCACTGTAATTCCCGGGATAAAAATACAAAGAAGATGTGGCTGCTTGTGCTTGTTGTTGTTGTGTGACGTTAAGTTGATTCTGACTCATAGTGACCCTATACGGCAGACAACAACTGCCCCACAGGGTTTCCTAGACTGTAATCCTCATGGGAGCAGATCATCAGGTCTTTTCTCTCTTGGAGCCGCTGGTGAGTTCTAACCATTGATCTTTCGGTTAGCAGCCCAGCACTTAAAACTGGGCCATCAGGGTGCCTTAACGTTGGAGCTCAGAGGAGGGCAATTTAGCAGAGTTGTTGTTAGGTGCCATAGAGTCAATTTTCGACTCATAGCAACCCCATGTAGAACTGCCCCATAGAGTTTTCTATGTTGTAATCTTTATGGGAGCAGATCACCAGGCCTTTCTCCTTCAGAGCAGCTGGGTGGGCTCCAACTGCCAACATTTTGGTTAGCAATGGAGTGCTTAACCACTGTGCCACCTGGGCTTCCCGGCTCCTATGCAAGGGATTTGCTGACTGATTCAAATCAATTAAGATTGCCCGCATAGTAAAAATTTTCAAGAACTAAGGAATATTCTATGACTAGCAGTAGCTGAAAAAAATTAACAACCTGCATTATGCAGATGACACAACTTTGCTTGCTGAAAGTGAAGAGGACTTGAAGCACTTACTGATGAAGATCAAAGACCACAGTCTTTAGTATGGATTACACCACAACATAAAGAAAACAAACATCCTCACAACTGAACCAATAAGCAACATCATGATAAACGGAGAAAAGATTGAAGTTGTCAAGGATTTCATTTTACTTGGATCCACAATCAATACCCATGGAAGCAGCAGTCAAGAAATGAAAAGACGCATTGTACTGGACAAGTCTGCTGCAAAAGACCTCTTTAAAGTGCTGAAAAGCAAAGACGTCACCTTGAAGACTAAGGTGCGCCTAACCCAAGCCATGGTATTTTCAACTGCATCATATGCATGCGAAAGCTGGACAATGAATAAGGAAGACTGAAGAAGAATTGATGCCTTTAAATTGTGGTGTTGGCGAAGAATATTGAACATGCCATGGAGTGCCAAAAGAACAAACAAATCTGTCTTGGAAGAAGTACAACTAGAATGCTCCTTAGAAGCAAGAATGGCGAGACTACGTCTTACATACTTTGGACGTGTTGTCAGAAGGGATCAGTCCCTGAAGAAGGACATCATGCTTGGTAAAGTAGAGGGTCAGCGAAAAAGAAGACGCTCAATGAGATGGATTGGCACAGTGGCTGCAACAATGAGCTCAAGCATAACAATGATTGTGAGCATGGCGCAGGACCAGGCAGTGTTTCCTTCTGTGGTACATAGGGTCCCTAGGAGTTGGAACAACGGGACAACAACAACAAGCATTAGCTGGGGCAAGCTGGGATAATTATACGACCACAGTGACATTCATCAACACAGTACTTAAGTACTTACCAAGGATGGGAGCTTTTCTTTGCAAGGTTGATAAGGCAAGGCTCTTTGCTATCCCCTTCTGTAGAGTGGGTTGATGTTTAGTTCACGATCACCCTGAAAGCCTACACCCTTGGTTACCAGTTTTATCCAGTGGTCTCCTATTAGACTTCCTATCTTGGGCAGGTACCACATTTATCTCCTGACCCCTTCTTCTGTGAGTCTGTCAGAAAGGAAGTCCTGTGTCACCAATGTTTGGTAGCTGCCTCAAGCCAAAGCTTGCCTGAGAGCTATCTCACTTTTCTAGATGGCACTTTCACTTCAGAGTTGGCCTTTGAGAATTCCTTACTTTTTGCCAGCTCAGCAGTTAATTTAAGAGATCTTTTAAATATTTTATCCAAGATTTTTTTTTAAAATCATTTTGAGCACAAAGGTTGTTCACGGATTCTTTTCTGCCATATTGCAGGCAATGGAAGTCCATAGTGATCTTCTTAAAATTAAATCAGATGATAATATTCCCCCTGCATAAAACTCTCCTATATCTTCCCGTTGCACCGAGAATAAAACCCAGTCTCCTCGTACTGGCTTATAAAGTCCTACATAGCCTGGCCCATGCCCATCTCTTTGGCCTTACTTTCTACCACTCTCCTCCTTGCCCCAACATCCCAGCCACACTGGCCACCTTTAGATTTCTCAACAAACCAACCAACCAAAGTCATTTACATCACAGGACCTTTTAACCTCCTGTTCAGTCTGGTAGAATGCTCTGCCCCAGATCTTCTCATGGCTGGTTCCTTCTTGTTATTCAGGTACAAAGTTTAGTGTCACCACCTCAAACAAGAGTAGTCACTACTCATGTGCTATCACATTAGTCTGTTTTGATTTACTGTATAGCAGTTATCAGACATTTTGTGTTTTCTAGTTTATTTGTTTCATACATTTCTGCCCACCCCTCCCCCGCAAAGTAAGGATCATGAGAGCAGGGACCTAGACTATCTTGTGTATCTCTCTATAGTCCCTAAAATACTGAAAACAATGCTGGGAACATGGCAATCACTCAATACATATTTGAATGAATGAATGAGCTCCATAACTGCAAGTCTATGGCAGCAAAATTTTGGACCTTTCTTAATCCACTCTTCTAACAGTAACCTCAAGTCTCACAGTCAGTTGGGACCCCTCTCCAAAAAAATAAAATAAAATAAAGAAGATGAAAGATAACAATTGAAATACAATTTTAACAAGGCAGCATTCATCTTATATACGAAATGCCTTTCTCCATTGTGAAGAAGCCCTTGTATAGAGTCCAGAGATTCTCCTGCTTGTTTTTCTACAATCTCCACTCTCCACCTTCAATCCTAATCTTGCCCCACAATTCTTCCTCCCCTCCACCATTCAAAAGATTTGTATTAGTAAAATAAGAACTAAAAGAAGAAAGTGTGATTAAAATGAGTCAAGAAAAATAAGTATCTCCTGTTATTGCTTCAGTATGTGTAAATAATAAAATAGATAGCTGCCATCGAGTCAACTCCAACTCATGGCAACCTTATGTACGACAGAATAAATATTGCCCAATCCAGCATCATCCTCACATCACTGGCCGCCATTGTGCCAATCCATCTCACTGAGGGTCTCCTTGTACATGCTGGCCCTATACTTCACCAAACATGATGTCCTCCTACAGTGATTGATCCCTCCTAATGACATGTCCAAAACAAGGAAGCTGGACAATGAATAGTCTGTTGTGATTAATGAGGTTTACTGTATATTTACACAAATAACATTCACTTCTACATTTGTTTGCCAACTGTGTCCTCCCCCCACAAGGTATTTTCCTAAGCGCGCTATGCTAATTTTTTTTACAGCAACATGTAAAGAAAATTGGCCTAGCAGAATTTATGAAAATACCTTGCGGGGGCAGGGCGCAGTTGGCAAACAAACGTAGAAGGTGTGTGTTATCTGCATTAAGAATATGGTACATTGGCTTATTTTCTGAAGTAGATCACTAAGCCTTTCTTCCTAGTCTGTCTTAATCTGAAAGCTCCACTGAAACCTGTCCACCATGGGTGACCCTGCTGGTATTTGAAATACCAGTGGCATAGCTTCCAGCAAAATGCAAGCTACCACAGAGACAAACTGACAGACAGGTGGTGGTAAAATATCTTAGCTCCTTTCTACTTTTTCTTAAGATTGAGGTATGTGTACATGCCACTAAATATGTTACTGGATATTTCAAGGATACAAATGATATACTATTTAAAAGAATATAAGGAAACTAAAGTGTGAACCAAACCATTTTTGGTTATCAAAACTATTAGATATATATGGTTACCCAAACTATATTGACACAAACATATTGGAAGTTATTATATTGTAATGATTGATCTTAAATATTTTATAAAGACAAAATAACATTTATTTACCAGAAAATTTTCAAGGATTTAGGGTAGAACATGGGAGAGGCTAGAACTGGGAGAACAGAAGGTGATGAAAGGAAGGATCTTGAGTAGCCTGATTTTATGGTTTAAATTGTGTCCCCTAAAAATGTGTGTCAATTTCGCTAGGCCATGATTCCCAGTATTGTGTAGTTGTCTACCATTTTGTATTCTGATGTCATTACCCTATGAGTTGTAAATCCTAACCTCTATGAGGCAGGATTAGAGGCAGTTATATTAATGAGGCAGGACTCAATCTACAGGATTAGGTTGTATCTTGAGTCAATCTCTTTTGAGATACAAAAGAGAATCGAGCAGAGAGGAGAGGGGCCTCATACTACCAAGAAAAAAGAATTAGGAGTGGAATGTGTCCTTTTGACATGGGGTCCCAGTGCTGAGAAGCTCCTAGACCCAAGGGAAGATTGATGACAAAGGCCTTCCTCCAGAGCCAACAGAAAGAGAAAGACTTCCCGTGGAGCTGGCACCCTGAGTTCAGCCTAAATTTCTGTTTGTTAAAGCCTTTCACTTGTGGTATTTCTGTTACAGCAGCACTAGGTAACTGAAACACCTGATGATGATGACAAGAAACCTTAGAGAGACAGGGAGGTGGTACCACTTGGGATCAGACTCCTTCCTGCAGGGAAACCCAGAAAAGAGCAACAGTGTTGTAAGGCACATATTGGGAAACAACAACAAGGCTGTCTGCCAGATAAAACGTCAAGGTTTATCAGTAGATCCTAGCTTATTAGTTAGAAACTCCTGGTTTGAAAATTCAAATACTGTAAGAACACCTTTCCCTGAGATGGTCTCGGTATTGGAGCAATGCCTTTTTTTTCCCCCGTCAGAAAAATTAAAGAGTAATTGAACTAAGAGGAGAAAATATAATTTCCAAATAAAGTCCCAGGAAACTCACAGCAGGTTCAAATACGTTCTTCTCAAGCTTTGATGTTTATTCTCTAAGTGAGATAATATATGTGAACATTCTTCCTAGTGCTTGGCTTATACTAAGTGCTGAAAAAAATCTGCTGAATTTGAATCTTTTACAATCCTTTATCTTGCACAATATTAAAAAATAGATATTAATGAAAAGACATATATAATATTTCTATTTAAATCGATTGAGATATACTTAAACCTGAAAACAATACTTGTTTAAAAGGGGAATATGTGATGGGAAATGAGGTCTGAAGAATTCGCCTGAATGGGGTCATGGGAAGTACACAATCATTAAGTATGGAGATCATTGCTAATAATCAGAGTCTAGATGCTTATAATTAATAGTTGTCTATACCTTGATGAATAGGTCCCTGGGTGGCGCAAACCATTGGCTCTTGGCTACTAACCTAAAGGTTGGCAGTTTGAACTTCCCTCCCCAGCAGCACCACAGAAGAAAGACCTGATGACCTGCTTCTGTAAAGATTACAGCCAAGAAAACTTTATAGAGCAGTTCTACTCTATAACACATGGGGTCACCATGAGCTGGAATTGACTCAATGGCAACAGAGTTTATACCTTTATGAAAATCTCAGGGTGATAAATCCCTACAGATAGTTTCCAATTATTTTTATTACAAGGAAGAGAATCATGTTTCCATATTAGAGATAATTCTTCAAATGTATTTATAGAGAAACATCTTCAGTTTTAAGATTCTGTACAATTTATTATCTTAAAAAAACTTATTTACATTATTCTTTATTCAGGGGAGACTCCTGAAAGATATGCTGCCTTTCACAAAACGTTCTGCCATTTCTCTGACATCGCTGTATACAGATTCATGTACTAGGATACTATTGGCTGGAAATGTTGGTAAGTCATTAGTCTTATGAATTCAGTCACAGATATCTTAACTTACACGATGTAAAAAATGATTATAGGAGAAATACATGACATTTATTGAAACAAAAGACAGAGTAAGAGGCAAACTCAAGCATGAAAGATAGAGTGTGACGGATAGCTTGCTGAACAAACAGAAGAATAAATCTATTTCATTTCCTATTTCATTCTTAGCTCTTTCCTTAGAGAAGGCATTCTATCTCTCCCATGTTTAATTGAGTATATTACTACCCATCCCCTTACCCTACCTGATGGAGAAGAATGAAAAGTTTTTAATATTTTTAATCTTGAAAGGGTTATGTTGCATTAATCTTTATTATTAAAGGTAGCAGTGACATGAATTAGAGAGGAAAATGGGTTATTTGTTCTCAGTAAACCAAGGCTCACTGTGGCCAAGTCGATTCCTACTCACAGCCAGCCAATGGGACAGAGTAGAACTACCCCATAGGGCTTCCTAGGCTATAATCTTTACAGAAGCAGACCGCCACATCTTCCTCCTACACAGCAGCTGGTGAGTTCGAACCATCAACCTTTTGGTTAGCAGCCAAGCGCTTAACCAGTGCACCACCAGGGCTCCTTCCAGGGACTTTCTTTAATATTTATTGTTATAACTATCGTGTTGTGGTTGTTGGTTGCCGTCGAGTCAATTCCAATTCATGATGACCTCACATTCGCAGAGTAGAACTGCTCCATAGGGTTTTCAAGGCTGTGACCTTTCAGAAGCAGATTACCAGGCCTGTTTTCCAAGGCCCCTTGGGTGGGTTCAAACCAACAACCTTTCAGCTAGTTCCAAACCAAAACCAAACCTGTTGCCGTCAAGTTGATTCCAACTAGTTGTGTCTTAATTCTTTAATACTATTCTTGTTTTTTTTTTGTTTGTTTGTTTGTTTTTTAATGCTTCCTTTCTATATCCTTTCTTTTATCTTTTGAATTAAGGCCTAAATTTTCTTTGTTTTTATCCTCTTATTCTTTGAAAGATTATATGTGTGTGCGTGTGCGTACACACACATGCGTAAGTAGAGTTTTTCATTTTACTAGAGTTTACCTTTAAGTATTTTGAAAGCATTAATTAATTTCTTAGAATTTAAAGTGAAACAGCATCTTTTCAGTTAAGAAGGCTTAGCTGACTTTACCTTTCTCCTTTCTCAACACTCACTCCTTGACTTACTGCTGTTTGATAATGTAATATTCAGATTTGCATCCACAATGCTATTACCTTAAGGTTTTACATTTTACATCTTCTCTTTCCAGAACATTTTCCTCATTTCAAATTTATTCTACAAAAGTCACAACAAATCATTTGTACCATCAATTATTTTGGTCTTCTGGACATTATTGAAAATAATTGTTTATATTTACATTAAGTATTATCAGTAGATTTACGTTTATTTAAATTTATCTTCATTTTACCTGGTTTCAGTGTTGATACCAGTCCCGTAATACTTTAATTTTCTTGTTCTTGACTCATTTTTATTCATGTCAGTTTCTGTAATTTCTATAGATTATGTCCGTTTACAGCAGAATACTAGAGAAATCTGAGATCAGGCAAATGTTCCTGTTTTAAATAGCCTGCATGTTTTTGCATTAACTTTGCCTACTATATGGTAAGCCTTTCCTCAGAAAATACATAGAACTACAAGTTTGAAATTATCTATAGAAGTCTCAGAATGCACCTTTCTTAGGCTGATTCCTCTCTTTCCCAGGTGATTCCTGTTCTCTGCCCAGAATGTTTTAGTACCACGTAATCCATCTACTTCTTGAGATTTGTAGTTTTTGCTCGTCATCTGGAAAAATAGACGGAGGGAGGGCTTGGAATTCAATCCAGCCTTGTCCACATTATAATTAAAGGAGAGCCCTCATGGCTCAGTGGTTAAGTGCTCAGCTGCTAACTGAAAGGTTGGTGGTTGGAACCCACCAGCCTCTCTATGAGAGAAAGATGTGGCAGTCTGCTCCCATAAAGATTACAGCCTAGGAAACCCTACGGGGCAGTTCAGCTCTGTCCTAGAGGGTTGCTATGAGTCAGAATTGACTTGACAGCAGTGAGTTTGGTTCTTTGGTTTGGTCCTCCTAGATTCTGGCTGTAGGCTTCCTTTTGTCTCTACCTCAACAGATGTTAAAAGAACTTCTGCGAGACCATCCGGTCTCTATTTTAAAACAACTTCAGACACCATTAGTTGTTGCTTTTTTTTACATCTAGTTTTCATAAGAGCCCTCATGGCATAGTGGTTAAAGAGCTTGGCTGCTAGCCAAAAGGTCAACAGTTCAAATCCACTAGCCACTCTTTGGAAACCCTATGAGGCAGTTCTACTCTGTCCTATAGGGTTACTATGAGTTGGAATCAACTTGATGGCAATGGGTTTGTTTTTGTAAGAGTCATTTGGATTGTAGGATGAATATCTCTGTAACTTTTTGGACTCCATTTGGTAGTGGTCTGTGCATTTCTGTTTTCATCTAGCCTGATCTGTAGAAGAAACTTGACTGTTAGTGGATAAAGCAACCTCATTATGGCTTATTAAGCCTGAAATAAAAAAGAATTGCTACACAAAGAAGTTGATATGAACTTTCTTCTTTCATTTCTGGTTCCTCATAGTCTATTTTATTTACCATTTTAAATGCCTGAATCAAAACTACTTGGCAGCTGGGTAGTATTTATTTAGATAACGGGAAGTCTAATTAAAGGTTCCAAGTTGTTAAATGTTTAAATTTTATACAGAAGGACACGTTATCCTTTGCAGTATCAGTTCCTTCCTGGATCCACCTCATGATGAAAAGGTAAGAACATTAGTTTTCCACTTTAATTAATGGCTCAGCACATGCTTATTGAACATTTCTCTGTGCTAGACACCACAAAAGATAGAAAGATAGACAAGACTTCCCACTCTCAAGGCAGGTATAATGCTAGTGAAACTTCAGCTGTATGGCAAATAACAGTGTTCTGCTGGTGAAAAAAGGAGGGTGAGTGAGTGAGAGAGTGAGTGAGCCAGCCACTGGGCACTTTGCATCTTCTTCATGTTTTGAATTATCTGTGAGAATCTAGGGAGAAATCTAGAGCTTAAAAAGGTTCAGAGGTCATATAGTTCTCCAGTGTCTTTATCTTATACATCATCATAGAAGGAGATTGCATAACCTTCCCTTGCAAGTCTAACCCAGTAGTCAACCGTTACTACTTTCAAGAAAGTCTTCTTCAATCTAGTCCAAACTATCCTTATAATGCAAGCACATTTTATTCTGTTTTCAGTGTTAACACAATGTAAATGTAATCATCTTCATTTTGTAACCATTTAAATATGCACTTATGTGTATGTGGATATACAAGTGTATCTACACATATATTATACATAAACACACAACAACAGTTAAAGACTGTAGCAAGGAAGGACTACTTTAAATAGGCTTATTACCCTTTAAATTAATCCTTCAAATCCAAAAGCTTAATGTTACTTTATATAGTAATATTTTATTTTTGGATCATAGGTACTAACATATGAATATGTAGATTAAGATGGGAATCCTTGCAGGGTGTCTTAGAATGGTTATTGTTTCATTTGATCCATGGACTTTTCTTTTTTGTTTCAAAGACCTGGTTAGAGTATTTATAAGGGTCAGGTAGTCATAAATTATCTCCAGTTTGCAGACGGGAAAACGGGAAGTGGCTTGCCTAGGATCACAAAGAGTCAATCATGAAGTCAGGGTCAGCACAGTGTTCTTGTTCTCTAATCCAGTGCTCTTTCCATACATCACACTTCCTGGTATCAAATGGAAAACAGTTGAGTTCAAACAACTTGGGAAGCACAAAGCTTCATTTAAAAATAACTATAAATGGCCTGTAATCAAGGCATGCTGGGAGCTGGACAACAACAAAAAGTTAATCATATACTTAGTCCATGTATAGATGGATGGTTACCTAATTGTTCTTGCCCATCAGTGATGTTTATCAATATTCTATTATTAATTTTGACAGATAAAACTATGATTCAAAGCCTATGTTTTTGCAAGTAGACTTTCTATAAACCTGGTAACCAAGACCTTTCAAAATTCAGAGAAATCTTTAAAACAGACAAAGTTATTTTTAAAATATTGAATTAAGTTGTGGAGTTTATTTTAAATCATTTTCACCATTTTAAAAACACTAATCTTTTAATAACTTATTTTAAATTCTCCCATATTCAACCTCATTTCAACCTTTTCTATACTAGGACAACATGATTATCCAGTTTGTTCATGGCTGCCTATTTATAAATATACCACAGATTCTGGTTACAAAATGCCTCTGGTGGCACAGTGTTTAAGTGTTCAGCTGCTAATCAAAAAGTTGAACCCACCAGCCTCTCTGCAGGAGAAAGATGTGGCAGTCTGCTTCCATAAAGATTACAGCCTTGGAAACCCTATGGTGCAGTTCTACTCTATCCTATAGGATCGATATGAGTCAGAATCAACTTGACAGCAAGAGATAATGGGTAACAACACATGACACAGATTAAATCAGATCCAGTTATATATTACAACTGCAATGAAAGCCTAACAAGTCAGTCAGAGGTTAGGCTGGCCCTCTCACATTACTGTTTTAAAAAGCTCCATGACAGATAATCTGAGAGATAGGACCATCAAAACCTCCCCGCAGAAAGAGAAATCACATATATGATTACATACATGCATGCAGAAAAGACAGTCTAAGAACAATGTTTTCTAAGTTGGGAATTTTAATCTACTAGGGGATCATGAAATAAATTTAATGAGTGGCAACCAGTATTTTTGTAAGAATGGAATGGAATAGGATGGTAGAAAATGTCAGTGTGCATTGCACATAGTAAGGTGAAGTATTCTTTTGTAGAACTTGTTTCAGATACATGTGCAGATGTGTGTATGGGTCTACTAAGTCATGAAATAAAATATATTTCTTACTATAGATATGGTCTATGTTTGAGAAACACTGGCCTTAGAGAATCCTATTGCAAAGCAGAGAAAGAAACCTTGTATGTACTCTATTTTTACACAGATAACATGTGCCTTCTACATTTGTTTGCCAACTGTGCCCTCCCCCCATGAGATATTTTCATACGCACCATTTTTTTTACATGTTGCTGTAAAAAAATCAGCATAATGCACTTACAAAAATACTTCATGGGGGGAAGGTGCAGTTGGCAAACAAAGGTAGAAGGCGCACGTTACTTGCGTAAACATATGGTATTCATTTTTGGATGACCAGATGTTCTTGAGTAGCTTTGAGACAATAAAAAGTTGTTGTTATTGTTGTCCTTTGTCATCGAGTCAATTCTGACTCATGGCAACCCCACGGGTTACAGAGTAGAACTACTCCATAGGGTTTTCTTGGCTGTAATCTTTAAGGAAGTAGATCACCAGGACTTTTATTCTGTGGTGCTGCTGGGTGGATTTGAACTGCCAACCTTTTGGTTACCAGCCAAGCACAAATAGATTGTATACCCTGGGACTTTCATTAAGGAGATTGCAAAAGATACTGTTACACGGCTTTCTAAGAACAACTAGAGGGAATTGAGTCAGAAGGCTAAGAAATTTAGGCGGAATTATGTCTAACTTTTGTTAAAGTCTAAATGAATAGAAGATTCATGGGAGAACTCCCAGCTGCCAGAACTCTAGCCACGTAAATGCTCCTAGGTAAATGACGCAGAAAGAACTAAAGCCTGAGTCTGGGGTCATCCATGATGGAGAAGGAACATACTCTCGGGGGATGTTACAACAAAAGAAGCTCCCCAGTGGACCCCTCTTGTCCACACAATTTAGAAATGTCTTCTGAGGCCCAGTTATTTTAAGGATAAACCACATCTTGAAGGAACATACCAGTCAAGACTCTTGATGCCTTTGAAAAAGAATGAGCTGGGCCCATTTCTTCTAATTCCTTGTGGTATATAGCTTCTCATGGAAACTTGCCTCCCTCCCTCCCACAAAAAAAAAAGCCAGGGCTATCTCTGGATAACATGGAAAACAGGAAAAGTCTTCTTGCCAACCTCCCTTCTGGCCTTTGTCTTTCAGCTCTTCTTCCTCCCATGCCTGATGATTTCACACTCAGTCTCATGACAACCCTTCTCTTGTGGCTTCTCTCTCATCTAGCCATCAATTAACCCTCAACTAAATGAATTAATAGTTGTCAATTAAATGATAAGTTGCTAAAGACATAGATATTTCCTCTCCCATGGATATGTATAGATTAATAAATCTCTAAAAATGGAATTTTAGATAACTAAAAAAGCAAGATGAGAGCTGATCGAGGGTAGGGACTTAATCAAACTTACTGATCTGGTGCAGATGGCTACACCATGCACTCTGAGTTTGGCTCTATAATGATAATTTTGCTCAAGATTGAATTTTGATTAGTACATACTTATTCCAAGGGATATGCTTTATTGTTGTTATTTAGAAATTCAAGCAGCTGCTTTCCTGGCGTGCTCATGCTTTAGAAATTGTTCAACTAGTCTACGTAGAAGACAAACAAGTGGTGCTTACTGCCTCCATCGATGGCTCAGTAAGGTATGAACCTTCATCCTGTGAACGCAGGGTTTGAGTATGAGAGGTAAAGGATTTTAGCTAAAGTTTAGGTATGCAGCCTGAATGCAATCTTGGTAAGCTGATTTTAAGAAAAAACTGAGGGGGGTAGGTGGTGGCTCAAAAGGGCTTTGAGAATATAGCCATAGATTTGGAATTCTCTTCCATGCCCAAAGGTGGCACCTAATATTCACCCTCATCTGTGTTAGAAAGTATAATGAATGCTTTTAAGAAAAGTGGTTTTTGTATAATTATTTTTAAAAATTAAAAAAGAGAGTGAGCTCAGAGACATAGACCCAAATCCAGGGAAGGCCACAGAAGGAGATATGGGGTAAGAAGTTGTGGAAAAGTCACAGAAAAGAACAAGTAATCCTGAGAAAAGTAAAACTGAGCTAATTTGTCTTGGTTCTCCAGTGCTGCTGTAACAGAAATACCACAAGTGGATGGCTTTAACAAACAGAAATTTATTCTCTCACAGTCTAGGAGGCTAGAAGTCTGAATTCAGGGTGCCAGTTCCAGGGGAAGGCTCTCTCTCTCTGTCGGCTCTGGGGGAAAGTTCTTGTCATCAATCTTCCCCCAGTCTAGATGCTTCTCAGTACAAGGATCCCAGGTCCAAAGGACGCACTGCTCTCCTGGTTCTTCTTCTTCTTGGTGTCATGCGATCCCCTTTCTCTCTGCTTGCTTCTTTCTTTTATATCTCAAAAGAGATTGACTCAAGATACAATCTAATCTTGCAGATTGAGCCCTGCCTCATTAACATAACTGCCCGGATCCTGCCTCATCATCATAGAGACAGGATTTACAACACATAGGAAAATTACATCAGATGACAAAATTGTGGACAATCACACAATACTGGGAATCATGGCCTAGCCAAGTTGACACACATTTTGGGAGGATACAATTCAATCCATAACATAATTATTTCATTGGCAATGTGATTGATTTTACAAGTCCTACTTGTTTTTAATTAATGATAAACACATATATACAAAATACAAAAAACTCACACATACAGAGAGAGTAAGGAAAGGAAATGTCATGACATTTCCTGAGGAAAAAAAATTACTGCATATTAAAATGTCCTAAAATTATAGTAATGAATTATCCTCTTAAAAGAATGAAGTCAGGTAAGATCAAGAGAAGTAGAGAGGCTTCAAAGTATATTTGACAGTTTAAACATAATGAAATTGAAAAGAAAGCAGTATTTTATATTGCATAAAAGACACTGGACTAGAATACAACAGTCCCTGGTTCTAATATTGGCTCTAGTAATTAATTAGCTGCGTAAGCTTGAGGCTAGTAAGTTAGGCAGGGGCCGGGTCATGCCGCGACTAGTAGGCATTGTTAAGGATGTGAGTCTTTATCTTGTAAGAAATAGGAAAGATTTTAAGCAGGGAGTTACATGATCTGATTTACATCTTGAAGAGAATGTGTGGGGGAATGGATCACAGAGCAGCAAAAGTGGAAGCAGGAAAACCAGCTAGAAGTCTTTGAATACAGTGGCTCAGACTAGGTAGAGACAACAGTGATGAAAATAGGTGGTTTGGACTTGAGAGCTAACTAGGCAGTAAAATCAATAAGATGTGAACGTTAACTGGAAAGGGGAGATAAGTGATAAAGGATGTCAAGACTGCCACCCAGATTTCTGGCATATACAACTAGGTGAAAGTTGGTGTCATCCATTAAGGTAGAAAGCACTAAAAGAGGAGAAATTTCAGAATGTGGAAGAATGGGAGAGCACTTTTAGGAACGTTGAATTCAAGGTGAGTCTGTGGGGTAAGGTCCTATTAGCAGGGGAATAGTTAGAGCTACTTTCTCTCTCAGAAACAAGATCTGGTTGTTTTATCTGTAGAAAGGTTAAGAACATAAAATTTCATCGTTAAAAAGATTCACAATTTGGTCCCTTGGGTCTCTGCTTCAGCTTATTTTCACCTTCCTGATGGCAGAAGTGTTAATTGGGGAACAACACACACACACACACACCATGTGTGCCAGCACCTTTGTTGTTTTAAGCGTTTCCTGCTCAAACCAGTTATCGTTGGCATGGAGAAATTACGATTCCTGCCAGTGAAGATCTCCATGGATACTCAGTTCAAAGAGCCTACCTCTGTTAATAGCTGTCTCAGAATAGAGCTCTATTCACAACTAAGCAACATCCTTCAGCTAATTAAGGTTTAGCTCTGTGGCAAAGGATAGGTCACTCTGAAGACAAAATCTCAGGGAAGCAAAGTGAGATTCAGGGTGGCTAAGGATCCAAATGTGAGGAACAGGAAATGAGGCTGAAAGGCAGGGTAAGTCATCAGGGAGAGCTCCACATGGAGCAGGAAACACCACGAAACAAGGAGACTAGAGGTTTCTTCAGTCCTGGTCTGAAGCTAAATGCATTTAGAATTGTTTTAAGTTAGTCCCTCACCCTTCTAACTTTTGGAATCTGTAATGTTTAAAGGGCTGGTCCATCTCACTTCGGTAAAGACTCTGTCTGGCAAGGCCATGACATTTATGTGGTGCTAGGGCACAGTGGTTAAGAGCTCAGGCTGCTAACCAAGAGGTCTGCAGTTTGAATCCACCAGCCACTCCTTAGAAACCCTATGGGGCAGTTCTATTCTGCCCTACAGGGTTGCTATGAGTAGAATTGACTCGATGGCAATGGGTTGGGTTTGGTTTGGTTTAGGGAAATCAAATATGTTAGGGATATAAGATGTCATGTTAATTTCACAGGACACTGTCAGGTGTGAGAAATCCCAATTGGATATCTCATAATCTACCTCTTGGAGCTGGGACACTACTTGGACTTCATGGAATCTGCTCCTAGTTCCTTTAGCTTGTTTTCCTCTCCTGTGTCATTGCATCATTTGCTACCCTGAGGTTGAAATTAAGAAATAAAAGGAAGATCCCAAATACTATTTTATCTTTCCATAAGACATAGGGCTTAGACTTCTGCTAATGATACACTATTGCTTTAAACCATGTGGGCTCTTTAGAAGGACCTCTTGGAGCAACTTAATGTTGAAATAACACATACGGATATGCAGTATTTTGCCATTCTATTTCAGAACTCAACGGTAAAAATTTGGATGGTGTTTCCACAATAGTAGGACTTGTGGATGGAGGTCAGGAGGGCTATAATAACAGTAAAAGCATCACTAGGTGTCTCCTCCTACAAGTTCTGCTGATGCTGGTACAGCTGAGACGTAGCCCATTCTAACACCTAATTCAACTAATACACTGTCAATGTGGGTTCTGATTAGCTTGAATGGGCAGTGTTATTTTAGGAAAAATATGTCCCGTTTTCTCGTTTTGATAAATGGGTATTATAAGTCCAAATTCAAACATTGACATTTCCCCAAATTGTTTTGGACTAGAGCTCTAATTTATAAAAACATTTACTGTATGACTGTTGTTGTTAGGTGCCCTCAAGTCGGTTCTGACTCATAGCGACCTTATAGAAAAAAGTAGAACTGCCCCATAGGGTTTTCAAGCAGCGGCTGGTGGATTTGAACTGCCAACCTTTTGGTTAGCAGCCAAGCTCTTAATCACTACACCACCAGGGCTCCAGTATGACTAGATCTATACAGTATTTGATAGGAAGAGTCCTGGACTCATGTTTGAAACCCCTGGTGGACCAATGAAAATCTATATAAAGTGACCCAATGAACAGAATAACTTTCACTGAATTCCCCAACTACTTTCTTCTCCCTACCTTTGCCTTCCCTTAGGGTCTGGCAGGCCGTCAATGGTCATTACTGTGGATATTTTGGACAGCGAAGGATCTTTGAATTATCAGAGGCAATTGATTTCATTTTACCTTGTGATGTTAATGAATATCCCATAGAAATAAAAGAAGAAAGTAAGTTCACAGAGAAGAAGCAAAAATATGAATATCCTCTGATATTTGACCGGAAAAAGTAAGACCATTAGCTTTTATTTAGATGGGAAGGCAAAAATTAAACTATATTGATACTGCGACACTGTGCTGGGCATGGAAAATCCAAAGGGGGAAAAACCCAGAACTTTTCAATAATTTTTAAGTCTATTGGAAGGGAGAAATATGTAAACAAAAGACTATCATTCAGTACAGTAATGCTGCTGGAAACATTTAATTCTTTAGATAATCACAGAAGGGGGAATAATATTTAGCCAAACAAAAACGACCAAAGAGGCAATTGCCTCAGCAAAGACTGTGAACATATGAAACACTGAATATATGATATAGTATTTTGAGTCTTGGGGTCCAGGGGTAAGTAGAGAGGATATGATAGGAGATAAAGCAAGAAAATTCTAAAGGAGTCAAATCACAATGGGATTTTTATGCACCAACAAAAGAATTTTAAACTTTATAGGATTCCCTATGATAGGATACACAAGAAGAAAAGCAGGTCTGAAGAAAAAGATAGTAAGTTTAGTTTTGGACGGGTTTGAGTCTGAGGTTTTTGTGAAACATCCAAGTAAAGGTATTTAATGAACACTGACATTTCCTGTCGGAAACTCTGACAAGAGGTCAGGGCCATAGATAAAGATCTTGGAGTCATCAGCATAGTAGTATTTTCACTGTAGATAAGTCAGTCAGATCATGTGCATAAAGTGAGAAAAGCAGAAGACTAAAGAGGATGTCAAGAAGCAATATCCTTTAAAGATCAGGTTGAGGAAGAGAAATCAGTGAAAAATGTTGAGAAGGAAGAGCCAGGTTGTTGAAAGGAAGCCATAAAAGAGTGGTATGATGTCAATCAAGGGAGGAGAAAGTTGCAAGTAGAGTGGTAGAGAGGACACATTTTGTAGAACATGGCAGAGAGGTCAGATATGATAATAGAAAAGTAAACATTGGACTTGGCACATTTGTCATCTGAAAAGTCATTGATGACACTAGAGAAGGTAATTTCAATGGAGTAATGGGTAAAAAAATCACATCACAATGGCTAAGAAAGAAATAGGAGATAATGAGGTGAAGACAGTACAGATTACTTTTTAAGGAAAACAGACATTCCTAGGATTGGAGAAAAGATAGTTTGTTTTGTGGGTTTGCTTGTTTAGGGGGGAGACCTGACCATGCATAAGGGCTTAGGGGTGAATAGATAGCTATTTAATGGAGAGCAGAATGTTGGTGAAAAGCTATTTTGTGCTTTTGCAAAGTTCAGTCCTGGTTTGGGTTATGGCTGAGCCTTTGTCATAATGGAAGAGATTGGTACTCATCTAAGCTTTCAATATCAGCAAAGCTCAGTCCTAGGTGGTAGATGTCTAAATCTCTAGCCTCAGGGGACCAGACCTGCCTAGGCTAATGATATTCAGCAGACCAGAATTAGGGGTTAGGTATTAAGAAGCTGACTAAGGTAAGCCCAAAGTGAGAAGAATCAGAGGGAGATGTCTAAGATTTCCTTTTGGGAAATCTATGACTGAGCCAAAGTTGGGGAGACTTAATGCCATCATCTAATCCAAAGGATGGTAGAAGGGTTATAGACAGGAATTGAGGCCAAAAGTCTGAAGCTACACAGAATTAGGATCAAAGAAGAACAATTTGTAAACAATCAAGAAAGGTTCCAGGGGACTGCCAAAACCCCGCTGGAGTCTTCTCAGCTTGCCTTGGTTGAACAGTAAGGAGCAATGGAGAAGAGAACTGGATAAAAGGTAGGAGGTGGTATAGTAGAGCCAAGTCTCATCAAGATGTGGTAAAGTTCACCAAGCAAGTTGATCAATTCCACCTTTGGGTAATTGCTGAGCCTTGAACATCCATATATCTTAGTATTTGTTAACGTGCCTTCTTCACTACACTGTGAGTTTCTTGAGGACCGGGACCATGTCTTATATATATATATCTGTATCCTCAGTTCTCAGCACAGTGCCTTGCACACAGTAGGCACTCAAGGATATTTATGAAATGAATAAAAGAATTATTAATGGAGAATATTGCAAGAAGAGGAAATAGATGTAAATGGTAGATTCAGAAGTAAGAAACAGTATGACATGTTTGGTATAGCTTGAATGTAGGATTTGTGTTTAGGATATGTATTCAGAGCAATTACTTGTTATTAGTAAGTAATTATGACTTGTCTGTAGTGAGACAGCCTTCTATAGGATGACTTATCTTAGAACGCTTTAACTTATTGTCTTTAAAAAACATTTTTAATGCTTAGTTATGATTTCCTAAATATGGACATAAGTAGATTTTAACAATAGGGGAAGCTGCCCTGAGTCACATGAAAGGCAAATATTGGTTTTGTAATACATGTTTCTCCATCCCTACTACACAGTTTTCTTCCAATGGCTATTGATGAATTTAACTACAGGGAATGTTTAGGCTTACTAGAATTCTCTTTGGTTTCTTCAAGGAAAATGTGAGAAGCCAGGTGGAATAAGAATTAAGGGCAGAGATAGCATGCTTGGGGCTTGATGCCACGGGAATCAGGGAATTTGAGAACCAGAAAAGGAAGGACAAGTAGATACATAATATTTTTCTTATATCTTTATATGCAGATGGAGAAAAATGAGCTCAATGTCTTTGCTTTTCAAGCGTACACCTCCCAAACCCTTTGAAGTGGAACAGAATTTTAAGTTTTTCGAGTCTCTTTCCTCACCCAAGGTATCTTAAACAAATGAAAAACCCTTTGCTTTTGCTTTCCTGAATTCAAGTATGTCCAGTAATACTGAGTATTTGTTCTCTACTGCCGTTCTAACAAATTACCACACACTTGGCACCTGAAATAATATAAGTTAATTATCTTACAGCTCTGTAGGTCAGAAGTTCAACAAGGGTCTCATGGGGCTAAAATCAAAGTGTCAGCATTGTTGTGTTCCTTTCTGGAGACTTTAAGGGAGAATATGTTTCCCTGCCTTTTCCAGCTTCTAGAGGCCACTCACATTGCTTGGCTTATGGTCTCTTTCTTCCATCTTCAAAGCCAGCAATGTTGCATCTTTCTGACCCTTCTTCCATTGTTATAACTCCCTCTAACCCAGCTGGGAAAGATTCTCCACCATTAAGGAGTCATATGATTAGGTTGGGTTCACCTGGATAATCCAGGCTAGTCTCCCCATCTCAAAGTCTTTAATCTTAATCACATCTGCAAAGTCCCTTTTGCCGAGGGAGGTAACATATTCACAGATTTCAGGGATTAGGATGTGAACATCTTTGGGGGCCATTATCGTCCCTATCACGGATAGACACACTTTTCTTTAGTGCAAAATTAAGAGAAAAAAAGTATATGGTTATTCATTCTACTTCCATTTTTAACACTTTTAGAAACCAGATACGAGCCTTTAGGCTAAGTTCTGACATTAATCAAAATTAATTTCCTCAAGATCCTCCACAAAATAAACCAGAGATACCTCGCTGAACTTATCCCCCATTACTAATCTGCAGTTACCCTACTCTCTACTAAACAGACTACAGACTTCTTGTTGTCTACCTGAGCATTCCGCTAGTATTCTGCCCCTATGATTTTGATTTGTGCTATTCAGTTTACCTGGGATACCTAGCCATATCCATAACCCATCTCCATCTATCCAAGTCCACGCTACCTTGTAACACATACAACTGACAAAGGATCCTGAATACATACATGTCAATAACTTCTAAAAATCAATAAGAAAAATAGACAATTCAATTAAAAAATGGTCAAAAACTTGAATAGATACTTCACAAAAGAAAAAAAATTGCCAATAAACCCATAAAAAGATGTTCAGCCTCATCAGTAATCAAGGAAATGCAAATCAGTAACACCACAGGATACTATAGAGCAGTGAAAATAAATGAATTCTATTGAATGAGAAAAGCTTTGCAAGAAAGCACACACGTAATGATTTCATTTATATAAAGGTCAAGACAAGAATAGGCAAAACTAAACAAAATATTGTTAAGGCAAAAAACATATAAGGAATGTTATATAAATAAAGGGAAGAGAATTATAAACACAAAATTCAGGATAGTGGTTAAGTCTGAGAGGAGATGGAAGGGACTGAGACACACTGAGAGCGTCAAGGTGAGGGGTATTGTTCCCTGTTTTCAAAACAGGACAGTGGGTTTCTGAATGTTCATTATATCCTTATTCTTTTACAGTATACATATTTTGTAAATCTTTTCTTATCTATTTAATGTTTTCTTCTTTTTTGTAATATTTTTATTATGTTTTTAGTAAAAGTTTACACAGCAGATTAGGTTCCCATTTGATAATTTCTAGACATATTGTTCAGTGACATTGGTTACATTTTTCACAATGTGTCAGCATTCTTATTATTTCCATTCTGTTTGTTCTGTTTCCATTAGTCTAGCTTCCTCGTCCCCCCCTCCAACCACCACCACCACCTTACCTTCTCATCTTTGCTTTAAGGTAAATGTTGACCATTTAGTCTCATACAGGTTATTTTTTAAAGAAGCACAATACTCGAAGGAAATATTGTTTATTTTATGGGCCAATAATGTTATTTAGCTGTAAGGTGACCTCCAGGAATGGTTTCAGCCCCAAGTTTAAAGGTTATTTCAGGGCAGTAGTCTCGGGGGTTCCTCTAGTCTCTACCAGTCCAGTAAGTCTAGCCTTTTTTAAGAATTCGACTTTTGTTCTACATTTTTCTCCCATTCTATCCAGTATCATCTATTGGGTCCACTGTCAGAACAGTTGGTAGTGGTAGCCAGGCACCATCTAGTTCTTCTGGTTTCAGGATAGATGAGGCCATGATTTGTGTAGGC